AGAGTGAAAGAGAGAGTGAGAGAAAGAAACATTGGTTGCCTCCTGACTAGGGCCAGGGATTGAGCTGCAACTGAGGTATGTGCCCTTGGCCAGAATCAAATCCAGGACCTTTAAGTCCACGGGCTGGTTAGGGCTGAAAGAGTCATTTTTGTTTTTTAAAAAATATATATCTTTATTGATTTCAGAGAGAGGAAGGGATAGGGAGAGAGATAGAAACATCAATGATGAGAGAGTCATCATTGGTCGGCTACTTTCTGCACGCCCCAGACTGGGGATTGAGCCCTCAAACTGGGCATGTGTCCTGACCAGGAACTGAACCTTGATCTCTTGGATTCTAGGTCGACACTCAACCACTGAGCCACACCAGGCCGGGCTGAAAGACTCTTCTTTAAGCAGAAAAGGAAAGGCCATAAACAGAAATATAACAATATGAGAAAGATAAAAATCTCACATGAAAGGCCAAATATTTAATAAATATAGCAAATCAGACATTTAAAAGCTATAAAGGTCAAAAGAAAAAAGTTTCAAACTACAATAAGTAGTTAGGATATATACAACACACAAAAAAAGATCTAAAACATGACATCAATAACATCAAGCATGGAGGGGGAAATAAAAATGTAGTCCTTACAGAATATAATCAAGTTTAAATGCCTATCAGCTTAAAATAGACTGCTATAGATATAGAATGATATACATACACCTCATGGTAACCACAAACCAAAAATCTACAAAAGGTATACAAAAAATAAAGAAACCCAAATGAAACACTAAAGAAAACCAGCAAACCACAAGGGAAGAGAGAACAGAGGAGAACTATAAAAACAACCAAAAAGCAATGAAGAAAATGGCAATAAGTACACAGTTATCAATAATCACTTTAAATATAAATGGATTAAATTATTCAATAAAAAGCCATAGGGTGGCTTAATGGATTAAAAACCATGACTCATCGCCTGGCTGGGCATGGCTCAAGTGGTTGAGCACCAACCTAGGATCCAAGAGATCGAGGTTCAGTTCCCAGTCAGGGCACATTCCCAGGTTGCCGGCTCGACTCCCACTGTGGGGCATGCAGGAAGCACCCGATCAATGACTCTCTCATCATTAATCTTTCTCTCTCTCCCTCTCCCTTCCTCTCTCTGAAGTCAATAAAGATGTATTTTTTTAAGCCCCCCCCCCCCAAATAAAACACCCGTGACTCATCTATATGCTGCTTACAAGAGACTCACTTCACATTGAAAGACACATACAGACTGAAAGTAAAGGGATGGAAAAAGATATTCCATGCAAATGGAAATGAAAAGAAAGCTGAGGTATCATTACTCATATCAGACAAAATAGACTTTAAAACAAAAATATGTAAAAAAACAAAAAAAGACAAAGAAGGACATTGCATAATTATAGAGGGGTCAATTCAAGAAGAGGATATGACAATCATAGGTATCTATGCACCCATCAGAGGAGCATCTAAATATATAAAGCAATATTATTAGTGGACACAAAGGGAGAAATCCACAATAATACAATAATAGCAAGGAATTTTAATACTCCATTCACATCAATGAATATATGAACACATCCATAACGAACAGAAAATTAATATGGAAATAATGACTTTAATGTTACATTAGATCAGACCCACTTAATAGACATCTATAGAACATTTCATCTCTAAACTGCAGAATACATAATTTTTCTCCAAGTGCACATGGAACATTCTCCAGGATAAGTCACAAATTAGGTCACAAAATAAGCCTCAATAAATTCCAGAAAGATTGAAATCATATCAATCATCTTTTCTGACCACAATGACATGAAACTAGAAATCAACTACAGAAAAAAAAAACCCCACACAAATATGTGGAGACTAAACAACATGCTACTAAACCATTGGATCAAAGAGGAAATCAAACAAGATACAAATACATGAAAGGATATATCTTGCTCATGATTTAGTATGATAAATATTGTTAAAATGTTCTCATTACCTAAAACAATATACAGATTCAATGCCAGCCCTAAAATACCAATGACATTCTTCTCAGAATTAGAACTAATCCTAAAATTCATACGAAACCACAAAAGTCCCCAAATAGCTAAAGACATCTTGAAAAAGAACAAAGTAGAAGGTATCACACGCCCTGATATCAAACTATACTACAAAGTTACAGTAATCAAAACAGCATGGTGCGTTAGGGTGAGAAACACACAATATACAGATGACATATTGTAGAGTTTTATACCTAAAACCCGTATAATTTTATTAACCAATGTCACAAATAATTGAATAATAAAAAAAACCCCAGCATGGTACTTGCTCAAAAACAGATATATTGATCAATGAAATAGAATAGAGAGCCCAGAAATAAATCCTTGTTTATATGGTTAATCTATGACAAAGAAAGCAAGGATATACAATGAAGTAAGGACAGTCTCTTCAGTAAGTGGTGTTGGGAAAAATGGACAGATACATGCAAAAAATGAAACCGAACCACTTTCTTACACTATATATAAAAATAAACTCAAAATGGGTTAAAGATTTAAACGTAAGACCTGAAACTATAAAATTCCTAGAAGAAAACACAGGCAATAAACTCTTTGACATCTCTTTTAGCACTATCTTTTTGAATATGTCTCCTTGGGCAGGGTAACAACAGAAAAAATAAACAAATAGGTTTATATCAAACTAAAAGTTTTTGTACAGAAAAGGAAACCAGCCTGGCAGGGCATGGCTCAGTGGTTAAGCGTCGACCTAGGATCCAGGCGATCAGGGTTCGATTCCCGGTCAGGGCACATGCCCGGGTTGTGGGCTGCAGCCGATCAATGACTCTCTAATCATTGATGTTTCTCTCTCTCTCTCTCCCTCTCCTTTCCTCTCTCTGAAATCAATAAAGATGTATTTAAAAAAAAAAAAAGAAAGAAAAGGAAACCATCAACCAAATGAGAAGACAGCCTATTAAGTTGGAGAAGATATTTGCAAATAATACATCCAATAAGAGGTTGGTATCCAAAATATATAAAGAACTCATACAACTTAACACCAAAAGACCAAACAATCCAATTAAAAAATAGGCAGAGGACCTGAACAGACATTTCTGCAAAGAGGACATAGAGATGGCCAATAGACATATAAAAAGATGCTCAACATCACTAATTACCAGGGAAATGCACATTAAAACCACAATGAGATATCAATCACCTCATACCTGTCAGAATGACTATCATCAATAAGTCAATAAATAAGTGATGGTGAGGAGAAAAGGGACCCCTAGTATACTGTTGATGGGATTGTATATTGAACATAGTATGGTGATTCCTCAAAAAATTAAAGCTACAGCTGCCATATGATCTAGCAATTCCACTTTTGGGTATTTATCCAAAGAAAACAAAAACACTAATTTGAAATAAAAGATATATGCATCCCTATCCTATGTTCATTGCAACATTATTTACAATAACCGAGATATGAAAGCAACCTAGGTGTCTATCGATAGTCAAAATGAAGAAGAAGATGTGGTATATATGCAATGGAATATTATCCAGCCATAAAATAGAATAAAATCTTACCATTTATGACAACATGGATGGGCCCAGAGGGTATTATACTAAGTGAAATAAATCAGAGAAAGACAAACACTGTGTGATTTCACTTACATTTAGAATCTAAAAAAAACAAAACAAATGACTAAACAAAACAGAAACAGACCCATAGATAGATAGGACAAGCTGATGGTTGCCAAAGGGGTATGGGGGTGACGGAATGAGCATTTATTTATTTTTTGTTAATCCTCACCTGAGGATATTTTTTCCACTGATTTTTAGAGAGAGTGGGAGGGAAGGGGGGAGAGAGAGAGAGAAACATTGATGTGAGAGAGACACGTTGATTGGTTGCCTCCCAAACGAGCCCAACTGGGCCAGGGGTGGAATCCAACCTGCAACTCAGGAATGTGCCCTTGACTGGGAATCAAACTGGCAACCCTTCGGGGCAAGGGCTGATGCGCTATCCACTGAGCCACACCAGTCAGGGCAAGGAATGGGCATTTTTAAAAAAACACATGAAGTAGAAGCTGCCAGTCTCTTAAGGCCTGGGCTCAAAAACTGTCGTCATGTCATTTCCACTATATTATATCGGTCAAGCAATCACAGAGCCCAGATTCAAAGGGCAAGGACACAGGCTCCACCTCTCCATGGAAAAGTGTCACAGACATTTTTAAAGCACCCCAGGCTTCATGTCCCATTACTGTTCTTCCTCATTGGGCTGTAGCCACATGGGCCTCCCTGAAGCTCCTTAAGCCTGCCAAGCATGTTCCCACCTCAGGGCCTTCACATGTTCTCTTCCTTCTGCTGATCAGAGCAGGGCCCACAGTAGTGCTCAGTAACTAGGTGTTGAATGGTCTCGAACTCCTCTTAGCTCCTCTGCTCTCTCCTCTCCACAGCCAGAGGACTTCTTCTAAACATACACACCATTCTTTCCCCTGCCTATACCTCCTTGGCTCCTCACTGCCCCTGAGAGAAGGTCTACCTTCCCTAGTCTGTCCCATCCCCCATGGCCCCGTGGCTCATGCCAGTCCTTCCCCCATGCTCCTCTCAAAGCCACAAATCCCCCCCTTTCTACCTCACCACATGCTGCTCCTTCTGCCTGCAAAGCCCTTTCTCTCCTGTGTCTTGACAACTCCTGCTCATCCCCTTAAGAACAAAAGGCACCTCCTTCAGGAAGCAGTCCCGGATCTCAGGCTGCATTCGTTAAACACCTCAGCTGTGCTCTTGGATCCCTGCACCAGTCCTTTACATTGTACAGTCTGTCTCCCCCGGGGAGGGAGCTTCTACCTGGGCCCTGGCCCTGAATGGCCAAATCCTTAGGCCTCAGTCTCCATCCACACCAATTTGTGAGGGGGAAAAAAATTCTTTATTGATAAATAGGTTACAGTAAAATAAATAGAGTGATAGTTTGTTGGGGAATAAAAACTCCAACAGAATCTTAGTCTCTCTCCACCCCACCTCTAGCTCTTGGCTTCTGCCTTCGTATTGGTCCCTTTGGATGATGACACCTTGGTGGGCATGCCAGGCTTTCTTGGGCCCTTGGGGACCTCTGTCTTCCTGGGCAGTGGTACAGGTATCATCTTCGACCCACTGTCCTTAGCCTTAGGAGCAGCAGCAACCTTGGCTTTCGACCCTTCCCTGGCCCCCTGGGCAGTGGCCTCTTTAAGAACCTTGGTCCCTGTCTTCTTTTTGGCTGCGGAAGCAACACCATTCTCACCCTATAAGAAAGCAAACCAAGGAGCAAGGCAACAAAGCTGGGTGGGGTGGGGCTCAGAGCTCAGAGCCCACAAGCATACAGTTGAAATCCCAGCCCTGGGTGGCTTTGGACAAGTGACCTCACCTCTCTAAGCCTCAGCCTCTTACCTGTAAAATAAAGATAGTGATTCTCAGGGCACTGGAGGGCCAGAGAGGAGGAGAAACTGAACTGTGCTTTGTAGGAAACTAAATGACCCTCTTCCCCAGCTGACTCTTCCAGGGGCTGGGAAGGAGATGCCCAAACTCTGGCCTGTGCAGGGTGAAGACCCAGACCAGGAAAGTCACACCTACCTTGGTGACTGTGGGTTTTGAACTCTGAGTTCCAGTTTTGGTTTTCCTGTGGGCCTTGGCATCTGCTGGAAAGTAAGGGAGGGTATGTGGGAAGGACCCCTTACAGGAGGAGCTGCAGGTGGGCCGAAAGGTTCAGGGGCTCCAGAGCCCTTGTTCTGCCAGGGCCCGACCTGGGGCAAGTGGCTTAGTCACTGAGCCTGGTTGCCCTAGTCCGCAAACTGGGAATGACAGTTTCTCCCTCATGAATTGTTGCAGAATCAACTGGACCGTGGATGACCATCCCTCACTATCAGCCCAGCACCAGTGTGGACCCCTTGCTGTTCACCCACCCACAACAAAGGCCCCTAATAGGCTTATTAGCCTATAGTCTTTAGCCCATCTTCCACATGGCAGCCGAGATATATTTTTACAAATACCTCAAACCCTAACTGCTCCCTGCTCTGAGTCCTTCCATGGCTCCTCATTGCTCTCCAGATAAATTCCAGTCTCTGGGCTGCCCTTCCCAGTCTCCCCCTGTTG